TAACTCTGATTTATATATATATATATATATATATATATATATATATATATATATATATATATATATATATATATATATATATATATATATATATATATATATATATATATATATATATATATATATATATATATATATATATATATATATATATATATATATATATATATATATATATATATATATATATATATATATATATATATATATATATATATATATATATATATATATATATAATTGTCAGGTAGAATTGGGGTGTTACAAAGTTGCTATCAGAGCAAGTCGGTTCATCTGACCAAGTTGTCGAGTTGTAGTTTTTTTTCTAACAATCGAGTATTGTTACCTTGAGTTCTAACTATTGTTTATGTTGTAGAGATAAGTTGAGATGGATGGAAGGAATGATGATGCACTTTCTACTGCTTTAGAAGCAATGGCGCATGCTATGGAGAATCTTCCGAACGCTAACGGGAATGCTGGATCTCGTAGTTTGGCGACTTTCCAGAAGGATAATTCGCCTACCTTCAAGGGTAAGTATGATCCTGACAGAGCATTGGATTGTTTGAAAGAGATTGAGAGGATCTTCCATGTGATGGACTGCACTCCAACGCAAAAGGTTCGATATGGTACTCATATGCTAGCAGTTGAAGCTGATGACTGGTGGCTAGAGACGTGCCAGAGGTTAGAAGCTGCAGGTGAAAATGTCACTTGGGCTATGTTTCGTGGGGAATTTCTGAGGAAGTATTTCCTTGAAGACGTTCGTGGTAAGAAAGAAATTGAGTTCCTTGAACTGAAGCAAGGAAGTATGTCGGTTGTTAAGTATGCTACAAAGTTTGCGGAGTTGGCTAAGTTTTATCCGCACTATAGCGAGGCAAATGTTGAGTTTTCGAAGTGTATCAAGTTTTAGAATGGGTTGCGCCTAGAGATCAAGAATGCAGTTGGATACCAGAAGATTCGAGTCTTCGCTGATTTGGTTGAGAGTTGCAGGATTTATGAATAAGATAATAATGCTCATTATAAGATTATCAGTGAGAAGTGGGGTAAGCAACAACAAAATCGTGGTAAGCCTTATGATGCCCCAACTAATAAAGGTAAGCAGAAAGTTTCTCAGGGTCAGAGAACTAGTGGGGGAGATGCTCCTGCTGGTGTGAATACTGTTGAAGTATTCTTCATTTTTAAGAGAAAAAGGTTGAATTAGAACACATGTCCTAGGATCAATCTAGTCGATCCTGTGGGTAACTAAAGACTTTTTGTTGTTTTTAGAAGACTAGCGCTTGTTTACTAATTTTCACGGTAAACAGAAACCAAATACCTTTTCGTAATGCTATTGGAAGGTCAAGTTTAAGTGATGTAATTAGAGGAGCGGTTGAAGCAGGATAAGGTGCTGATCGATTAACATCATCTCATACCTCTGATGGATGGGGTGTCTGTCACTCTTAGACCTACAATGAAGAGTGGAGATGATGGAAGGGATATCTCGAACATCTGAAGTACAATTCTCATAAGGAGACATTGAGGCGAGAAGAATGGTGAAGTTTTAAAGGATGTGACATCAGAGTAAAAAATGTATCATTGAATTTGGGGACAAAAACAATGATATCCTTTTTGTATACATGAGCAGCCTAAAAAAGTAAAATTTTAAAATATTTGACAGAAAGTTTGTCTTTACCTGGACTGAGGTCCTGAACAAAATATGTGCAACCAAAGACGCGGAGAGGAACGGAGTAGAGATCATATTGCAGGTTCAAGATAAAGTATGAAATCCGATCTTGAAGGATCAATGAAGGAATTCAGTTGATAAGGTGACAAGCTATGAGAAGAGCATCATCCCAAAACTGAGAAGGGACATTGTGGTGAAGTAAAAGAGTATGTGCAGTTTCAACTAAATGACAAGTCTTTCGTTCAACAAAACTATTTTATTATGGTGTGTAAGCACATGATGATTGATGAATAATCCCCTGTAATGTTAAAAAAGATTGAAACTGTGATGAAATATATTCACAAGTATTATCAGTGCATGAAATTTTAATGAAAGTGTGAAACTGATTTTTAATTTCTGCATAAAATTCTCGGAATATATGGAAAATATCTGAACGATTTTTCATTAAACATAACTAAGTACATTGTGAAAATTCATCGATGAAAGTTACAAAGTAATAATATCCTAAAGTTAAATTCACACGACTGGGACCCCAAATATTATAATGAACTAAAGAAAAAGATGATGCAACACTTTTAGTTACTCGTTGACAATAGGTGTGATGAGTATGTTTGCCTAAAATTGACACAAGTGACAATGAAATGAAGAAAGCTTAGAAAAAATTAGAACTAAAAGACACATTTTATTAAGGCTAGTGAGATGCAAATGTTGATGCGTAAGGATTTTAGAAGCACTAGAAGCGCATGCCATCAGTAGAGATAGATGATATAATCCTTCAAACTCACTCCATGTTCCAATTGCCCATCTTGCACGTCGATCCCGGACATAAATAGAATTATCATTAAAAATGACTGAACAATAAAGAGTAAGAGTGAGCTTGTTAACAAATATTAGATTAAAAGGGAAACTAGGATTATAAAAGATAGAATCTAAAGACAAGTTTGGAAGTGGGTGTGCCTGGCCAAGGTCTTAAACTTTGATTTTAGAGCCACCTTCCTCTGCGACAGAAGGAAAAGAATCCGAATAAGTCAAGTGAGAAAAAATAAATCTATTATCAGTCATATGATCTGAGACACTGAAGTCAAGGACCTAAGAAATAAAGAAGGATATTGAGACAAACGCTACATGATTACCAAATTGAGAAACAAGGCAGATGATGATGGTTGGTTGGCTGTTTTGAACTAAAGGAGTTCATTGTAATCAATGACTGGAATAGTAACATCTTTGGTGGTAGTCGGTTGAGCAATGGCAGAAACCATAGGTAGTTGTTGTTCTCTTGCATTTGTACGAGATTCAACTTCAATATGACTACAACAATTGAAATAGTTATAGCGAATACCATGGTGTTGGCCATCATATCCTCCATTTCGTCCACCATGACCATGGTAGTGGGAAGGAAGAGTAGATGATTAAGTTGGAAATGGAGTCGAAACCGGTCTAAAAGCATGAGGTGTAGACAAGAGTAATAGTTGTTCGCTAACTACATCAGTCAAGAACATTGGCTCTTGAAAAAATCTGGTTACAAATGGAATTGAGTACGGGTGGTAACCTAAAAAGTGAAATGATCATGAAAAACCTCTTCGTTGTTCGACATGAGTTGTTGCAATTTTTGTAAAAGGCGTTAGGGTTGTGAGATTCTCCTTCAACGCATCAAGCTTACTCAGATAAACTTGCATATCTATATTCTTCAATTTCAAAGAGTTGAGTTTGAGAATGACATTTTAAAGACAATGAACATCGTTGGATAAAACTAAGTGGTAAAGGCTTGGTATTGTGCTTAGAGATTAGGTGTTATGGAAAACTATAACACAATACATAGAGACGCATTCGTTTGTTTCCATTTAATACGATTGACCGCGACAATATCTTCTGATTTTGTGGTTAGGTGATCTTTAAATCTTTGACCTTGAAATCTCATATTGACAACACTTAGTTGAATGTCCCGGTTAGTTTCTCGCACGGGATAAGCGAAAATTTGGTAAACGTGACGAAATCGGTTTCTTCCACAAGAGTTGATGGTTGGAAAACGTACGAACAAGATCGGGAAGTAGTGGGGAGAGTAGTTATAGTCGCAACGAATGGCCAAACAGAGCTAAAACGCGTCGGAAAACGAGTCTGACGTAACACGCGTGGGGGCTCAGGTGTCTGGACGGTTGTCGTGCATGGGGGAGCTTGCGGCGATGGCTGGTGGTGATTCTTTCATCGGGGGGTTCGCCGAGAGTTGTGAGTCTAGTGGTAGTGGCACACCGGTGATTGAAGGAGTGGTGGTAGAGAATGGAGACACACATTGGGTGTGTGTATTTTGAACAACTAGGTTATTAGACCAAATGGAAAAAGATTGTGAAACCTGTAACTTCTAATACCATGTTGAAAATGTATTTGTGTATAATATTGTGAGATTAATGAGACCATTCTAGAGTATGTTTATATTCATATGAGTGATATACATTAGGTAATTACAATTGACTGTAATTAATACATATTGATGGTATAATTGATACACCTTAATTATAATTTATTCTTAACCCAATTTATATACAAAACTTTCTCAAGAACTTATCAAATATGGTTTTGAAGAATTCCATGCAAATCCTTACCCATTACATGACTTCACATATCCCGCAATTTTGATCTATGTTGATGATCTTGTTATACGTAATAATGATTTTGTGACTTGCACTAAGTTCAAAAAATATTTGAACAATTGTTTTCACATGAAAGATTTAGGGTTCTTAAAATACTCCTTGGCTTAGAACTAGAATGAGGTACACATGGTCTTTTTATACATCAAAGATTTTAAAACTTATTAACAATACTTGATCACAAATTATCAGGGTATCAAATGTCTGCAATCCTTCTTTTTGCACATAATATATTATTCACTCATAAAGATATTAAACAATTAAATATTTAAAAAAAGTCACAATTACACAAAGGTTTCTCTTTCCTTTTTCTAAGGAAACCAGTTGATTATTCCCTTTAGAATTTTCCACATGCTAATGTAAACGAAAGTAAAAATTTAACATACTTTTTATCCTAGCAGATCTAATTTAAAGTTCTTAAAATTCCATCACACAAAACTAGATCAAAAAATAAGCTCAACAAACAAAGTCAAATAAGATCCTATGCTTGATGGTAAAAAATCTCTAAACAAGAAGAAAAGAATACTTGTCTTTCTCCACAAGGCACTAGAGTTCCAAATCATGTTACACGTGCAAAGTATATCAAACCTTGCTTGGACCTAATAAAGGTTCAAATTTCATTGGTTTCTTCTCTTTCAAATAAGCACCTAAAAGTACAACTGCTCATAATTAAAGCATAAAAATTCTTCCTGTATAGAATGGAGAATTGGATTAAGCAAATCAGGTTAGTCATTTTTTTACTTTTCACCTTATACAAAAATTTAAGATGTTCACATGTTTCATTTATTGTAAATAAATATATTTGGATCATAGCACATGCAATCAATTCTTAATATTGAAAGTGCTTTCTGTTAGAGAGAAATTAATTGGTGCAGAAGAAGAGAATAAAGCTGATTTTGGCGGTAGCAGGGACCAGAAAATAGCAATACAGAAAACTTCATCTTTCAAAGGTGACGAAGCTATTAATTGTTTTTCTAGTTTTGTTTTTGGCTGAAAACTGAATGAGGCAATCATTTGACAAATTTCTGCAGAGAAGAAAAAGTCAAATAATTGGTTTCAAAGACAACTTTCAAGGAAGATGAGTCATGATTATGATTTTATAGAAATGGAGCATGCAACAGCAGTAGCTGCAGCAGCATTTGCAATTAGTTCACATGTGTCAGAAATAACACATGAGAAGAATATGAGTGGTTTTCCTGAAACCTCATTGACCAAGACAAGAAGCAATGTGTTTGATAGAAAATCTACATTATCCCAATTAGGTTCTACATCCAAAAGATTATCAGGTAAATATATTCTTTCATTTTTTATAACTCGGTATTTTGTCTGTCGTAACTGCCAAAACTAATATCTCGCGCTGAATGGAACCGCAAACTGTCGAGACTAATCTCTCGAGCTGGATAGAAGCTCTCCCTCAATAATTTTAATACTACCATATTCTTAAGGCTGGATTCAAACCGAGTACCTCCGGTTAAGAAAATACGGAAAAAATACAATTGTAATAAACTGAATCTATCTGCATAAATTGTAGGTTCATTTAAAATCAGAGATGAACAAGTTAACAAGGTGCCAACAACATCAACTTTAAGAGAAGAAAAGAAGCCTGAAAAGACAATCACATTGCCACCAGTACCATCAATGAAAAAGACTCCAACTTCTAGTGAGTATTCAAAGAGAACTAGTCATATAAAACCTGATATGCAAACATCAAAAAAGACTCCAACTTTTGGTGATAACTACTTTAATAACATCGATGATTCAAAACCTGAGACCTCACAACCAAATATTCTTCCACAAGTTGATGACCCATCCATGTTTTTAAGGCCACCACCGCCCCCGCTGCTGCCGCCGCCACCACAGCCACCAGTCAGGCAGACTTCAACCACTACTAGACCATCAACAAGACCAGGTACAACAGATACAAAAGCAGATGCTTGGGAAAGGGAAGAGCTAAACAAGATCAAAGAAAGGTAGAATCTGCATGCATGCATGGCAAATAATTAAATTTTTCAACGACACTACGTAAATCTCTAACTTGATACGTTGCATGCAATAAAAATATGATTAATTTATCAGGTATGAGAGATTGTTAGAGACAATAGAGAGATGGGAAAAGAGGAAGAAGATGAAAGCAAGACGCAAGCTAAATAAGCATGAGGTTAGATTTTCTATTCAACCTTTCTTTATGCTTAGTACGTTCTGATAGTTAAAGTGTGATTAATTGATACCTTTGTGAAAAATGCAGCAAAGTGAAAATGAGAGGAAAAAGCAGAAAGCATGGAAGAAATATGAAGAGAAGATAAAATACATAGATGGGATTGCAGCAGGAGCTAGAGCACAATCAGATGAAAAAAGAAAGAATGAAACGGTTAAGGCAAAAGAGAAAGCAAACATAATTAGAACAACAGGCAAGCTTCCAGGGGCCTGTTCATGCTTCTAAGAAACAAGAACACCAATGTATATATGTATATAATGTCATTTGGTTTTAGTAACGAACAAATTCTGTGCTTATTTGTTTCACTGATCTATAAAACCTATGAAGGTGCGAGTGTAATATTAATAGTTGATTGATGCATATAACAATGGCAATTATACAATTCTGTTGATGTTTCTCAATTTATATTTCATTTGCTTCCATATTTTTGCTTTAGTATTATCTTTAACAAGCTAAATTTATATTGAAAAAAGAGTTACTTTAACGCAGAAGTGCAAAGAATACAAGAAAAGAAAAATAAGTTGCTCGCAAATCAAGACATTTTAAAGAATTTTTTTCTCTTTTGTATTTGTTGTTGAGAATGTAATTCTTTGTGACGAAATATACTTTACATATGTAAATATATATATATATATATATATATATATATATATATATATATATATATATATATATATATATATATATATATATATATATATATATATATATATATATATATATATATATATATATATATATATATATATATATATATATATATATATATATATATATATATATATATATATATATATATATATATATATATATATATATATATATATATATATATATATATATATATGTTGAAATGTCAAAGGAGTTAGTCTCGACAAAATTTTGACTTAACTTTGTTTTGTTTGTTTTAATTAATTTGTTAGGCTGCTTAATGAACAAGTTACCTCAACCTATAAAAAAGTAAACAGTTATCTCAGCAGAATTCACAACTTCTTCTTCTTCTTCCTTTTTTGTTAAAATCCTAATTCTTTTTTCTTCCCCAATTCAATTCTTTCTTCTCCTATATGAAGGTAGAGAAAACACAAGAAAGAAGGGGTTTGAATTGTATTCATAGAAAACATTCTCCTTTAGAAATTCTAAGCACTCAAATGATAATAGTGATAAAGACAATGAAGAGTAAAGGACATAAGTAATTTATCCAGGTTCGCCGTTGTTGTACCCCAAAATTTACCCTCTCATTTCTCAAGGATTCTCACAAGATCTCCCATGACATCAAGCTTGTAGCACTAATATATCAATTTAGGTTTGGAATTAGCACAAGACAAAATGGTCAATTGCATATTGAAAAGTCAAACTTTGACTTTTGGATTAAAATCAAATCTCAAGGATCATATTTCATCAAGGCATGTTAGAATATGAAGTTTGTTTCATCAAGAAAATCAAAAGTCAAAATTATGTTGAAAAAGTCAAATTCTAAATATTTAGAAATTTTTCTAAGTGTTTAAGAAATATGATAAATTCAGAACTTCTGGCCAGATTTTCACCATGATGCAAGTTGGTTCTGGAAGAACTTCTAACATAAGAGTTGTAGATCTCAATGAGATCTAAAATATTGCAGAACAGAACTTCTCCTAGAAATGTTGGAATTTCAAGTTATACATCTTCAAAAACACGTCATTGAAACTGGAATATTCAGTAAATTCTGGACCTTTTCAAAACAGGATTTGGTTAGAACTTTTGGACCAGTTTTCAAGAAGGTTCAATCAGAATTTGCAAGAGCAATTCAAATAGGGTCTACAAAGCGTGTTGCAAGCTTTCTGGAAAATCTGAGAACTCCTTTAGAATATGCTGGAGCAAAGAGATTTAAAGATCAGAAGTTGGATGTTTATTCTAAGTTACGCTAATGCTGAAGTTGTGATCCAGAGTAAACTATGATGCATAATCTCATATTGCAAGATTTCTGCTTTGATAAATCTCATCATCATTTAATGCTCGCAACCACTTTTGAGTCTTTATCCAAAGGATTTCCCCACGTGTGTCATAGAAGTACATAGATGTCCTTGAAAAGAAAACTTTTGTACAAGTTTATGCTGGGCCCATACTTTGCCTTTGCCTTTGAGAGTACTTTTCCATAATTCCTGCTTACAAATCCAGCTTAAGCGCGGCTAAAGCTGCTAATTACCATACTTGTTTAAACTTGCTTCAAGAACAAAGCAGCACCCTAGCATATGATAGTTGTACCCTTGATCTCTCTAAGCCACAAAATCCTTGCCTATAAATTGACCTTCATTGGAAATTGTAATGAGCTCAAAAAATTGAAAAGAAGAGCCTTGAAACCTTGCTAAAATCTCCCAAGAACTTAAAGTTGCAGCCCAAATACAAAACCTGCTAGTCTTTGATTTTTGCATTTAAATTCCAATTTTCCTCAAGTGTTTCTCGACCAAATCATCAACATAGTTTCTGATACACATTTACAAGTCATCCCAACTTTTGTTTTCATACTACACTTCCATCTCCACCAATTTCTATTTCAAAATCAGAACTTTGCTTCTTGGCTGTTCCAGAATTTTCCAGCCATGCATAACTCAAGTTAAAGATTGTCCCAACCTTCTGAGCACGTGAGGAAGCTGACCGAAATATCACAGCAGTCAGAACCAGACTCTAGCATACAAAATATTTTTCAGCTGCAAGGTAAGCTTCTTCTAACTTTCATCATATTACTTAGGCATTGTTAGACTTGCATGTCCAAAATACAATGTAGACATCCTGATTCTGATATTGTACATATTCATAAATTTCATGTATCTTTGCCTAAGTAGAGAGAATCTCTACTTAGAATTTATTGAGGAAGTTAGGATTCAGAATTAGGATTAGCAGATACATGCCTATTTCTGATTTACAGTCCTGATATTTTTATGTTTCTGAAATCATGATGAAACCTGCCATAACTGCTATGTGTGCATTTTCTGTTTTGTTGAGAAATGACTAAGTTGCATATGCTCTGATTGGCATGGAAAAGGAGTTAAAGTTCATCATTAGAACTTATTTTGTGTTACATGTTTATGCTTTTGCTTCTAATACCAGATGTACAACCACCCCAGTGGTAGAGAGCGTGCACATAAGACATTAATCCTAAGGGTCTTGAGTTCTAGTCCCACAAACACCCTTTTCCATGTTTTTATTTCCTGACATTTTTACCCCATTAGTTGGATCAGAACTTCTAGGTCAATTCCCTTTAGTTGTTGGTCAAAACAGTGATCCTAGACCAGAACTTCTAAACATCCCCATCCAACAGTATTGACACCTCACATACTCATTATCAGAACTTCTTGGTTTCCAACTACTTCATAACTTCCAAACTCTCTCAACCACAAACACCCTTTTCCATGTTTTTATTTCCTGACATTTTTACCCCATTAGTTGGATCATAACTTCTAGGTCAATTCCCTTTAGTTGTTGGTCAAAACAGTGATCCTAGACCAGAACTTCTAAACATCCCCATCCAACAGTATTGACACCTCACGTATTCATTATCAGAACTTCTTGGTTTCCAACTACTTCATAACTTCCAAACTCTCTCAACAACAAGAACTTCTGACCTTCCAGTAACACTAGAATTTCTAGGCTTCCAGTTACATAAGAACTTCTAGGCTTTTCCTTTGTTCCCAGCAACCTCAGTGCACCTAGACCCAGAACTTATGACCTTCCCTTTTTCTACTAATATTTCTTTCTTGCAGCGTATCAGAGTCAGAGTTTCTGCCTCTTACTTCTGCTCTCTATTATTTCAGCAAGGCACTAATTTTGTCCCCTTGTTCTCTTATTATTTTTTATCATCATTCTTATTTTCGTTAATAAAAAAACACCAAAAACATTTTTATATTCTCATACTTAGTTTATTTCTTTTAAAATCAAAAGACCAAAAATATTTTCTTAAACTAGTTCATTTCACAAAAACGAAACAAATCCATTTTACATTTCTTGTACATTATCTTAATATGGTTGTAATAGATAATTAGGACTTTAATTTCTTGCAATCCCCATTCGTAAATTTGTACACCCCATATCCCTAATGATTATAATAGCATAGAATATTTACTTTCCGCAATTTATTGCTTTCATATAAATGCTAGTAATTAGGATTTGTATGGAAAAATAAAATCAATACTTAGAGAACCTTAATCCAAGAAAAATCATGCATGCAAATCAAACACAACATTCACACATGCACCCCTAAGGTTAACTCCACTTGTTGCCTAATAAATGGTCATGTTATATGTTGTACCCCAAAATTTTCCCTCCCATTTCTAAATGATTTCTCATCACAAAACCTTTGAAGCCCAAGATCCAGTTAGGGTTTCATCTGCTCAAGACTTCTCCTTGCACAGTTGACCCAAATTAGGGTTTGTGTTTGCACCAAGATGTTTTGACCTAAAGTGCTTAAGATGACTTTCATGCTTCATATTGGACTCCCAAGTTTATCCATACCAAGTTTCAAGCATTGATTCAAAGTTTTGCTCAGTCAATTGGACAGTTGACCTAGAAGTCAGCTGTATTGAGGAAAAAGTCAACTGTGGCCAACTGACAGTCAAACCTCATGAAAGTTGACCCACATAAACATTATGAACTCATATGGACCATTTGATCAAGTTTGGATCACAATTCCATAAGAAATTTGATCAGATCACCAAAAGGGCAAAATGGTCATTTTTAGGGTTTTGACTGCACAAAGGCAATTTTTGACTGTTTGACCCAACCAAAGGCAAACCAAGCTCATATATGGACTCAAGGGCCCCATGGGGTTATCTTGACATGCTCAACAAGTTCAAAAGATCCCAAATGCACAAGATTGACAGTTGAATTTCCCAGTCAATTGATCAATTTTGACTGTATACTGAAAAGTCAAACTTTGACTTTTTGGTCAAAATCAAGAGTCAAGATTCATTTTTCATCAAAACATGCCAAATCATGAAACTTGTTCACCAAGAAATCACAAAATGCAAATTAGGGTTAGAAATTAGAATTTTTCATAACTTAGAATTTTTTGAAGTTATAAAAAACCCTAATTTTTTCCCAACTTTGCCCCACTTTTTCACCAAGATCCATTTGGATTCAAACAAAAGTCAAAACATGAAAGTTGTAGCTTGTTGCATAATCTACAACTTTGATTCACAAAGTTTTCCCATTTGAGGCTTGTATCTCAAGTTACAAATTTTTGAATAAGGGCA